GCCGTAGATATGTTTAGAATGTCAATTGGCGTGTGTAGGAGCGGTATTGCGTATATGCAAGGCGATGATGATGCTCTGATGATGATGATGATGATGATTAGTCGAGCGCCGTAAAGTCGTTAAACATGCCGTGTGGTGATGGTGGTGGTGGTGGTGGTGGTGGTGAATCATTCGCGCAAGTCGAGCTCGCTACTTTGAATTCAATTGAAGCGATTTCATTAGCTTAAGCGCGTTATGTTACGAAACTCTTGGAAAAACAAGGTTTGACATGCAACAATTCTTTTGCCTCTCCTCTTAACGTTTTCACCGTCTATTTAGGAATGTGACGGAAGGGATTGATCGGAACAGGAATTATCGCAAAAATCTTGAAACATTACACTTTACTCTCAGTACATATGCACAACGAGATTTGAAAATGCAAATGGAAAGTAAGGATGTGTGGTGCTGAACTGACTCGTTAAAATTTTTTAAAATTTTTTTATTCGTTTGTCAGTTTTATCGATTATAGTGCGCAAGCATAAATTTAATTGACAGGCTGGACCCATAAAGGCATACTAATTACATACTTCTATTTGATTATACGTATCACCTGTATATTGATCGATAATTACGGTTTAACATAAAGCATCGAAGAAATACTGATTATAAATACGTATCATTATAGAAATTAATAAATGAGCGATCGTAGGTACAGCAACTATCATCAATGTCGAAGAAAATGACTTTTGTAGTTCATAAGCTTGACTTATGTACTATGATTATCAGCCGTAATACCGGTATTGAAGATCCGATTAGATAATCACAATCCTGACTATTGCTTCTTACGCTTGTAAATACAGCGAATAGAGAGCGACTTAGCGGATAATGTTAAAGTGAAGCTCAAATTAACGTAAAGTGAGAAATTATTTATTATTTTGAATGGTAAACTTGTGAGGAATGAGAAGGAAAGAGTTTGATCGATCCATAATATAAATTCCCATTAGAGAATTCTGAAATAAAATATTATTAAGTAATTTCAAACGAGGGGGCAAAAATAGTTTAGCTCGATTGGTAAATTAAACGAACCTTTAAATATTATTCCGCCATTAAATATTCAGTAATGAATATGTATTTTTATTGCATCAAGGTAAGATTTGCAATGCGTTTATATGTATGGAATATCATATGAAATAACTGCGTGCTATTATCAATTTAAGTAATATGCTAAAGCAGCACGTTCGTTTAAATGGACATTTTGAATTGAGTTTTGATAACCAAGCTCGGTACCTTTGGATAAATTATGCAATTAATAGGTGGGTTTGGCGTTAAGATTGTCATATAGTGAAAAATTTCTAAGAAAATGTCGGAATTTTAATAAGTCAAACGGGAGCGCAAAAACACGAGAAAAAAAAAGGAAAATCGATCGTTTAAAGACATTTTCAAAAAAGGTTTTTAAAAACTATGTCGAAGAATAAGTCGAAACACTAAAATATCTATTGTTTACGTAATAAAAGTTGGCATTCGTACCCATACCACTGACGATCAATGAGCCGTGACGGCTTTTGCCGACACATGTCCCAAGCGAAACTGCTACACATATTCAGTACATTGTCATTCAAGTGTCATTGACTTGCCTTGTAAGTTCAAAGACTTTAGACTCTTAGCTCTAAGTCTAATGGGGCCAATGAGATTTTGGAAAGTTTTAACCTCTAAGGTACAATGACATGGAGGTGCTAATTGCGACAGTCCACTGTCTTCGCACCTTGATATGTCGAAAAGATTTTGCTAATTATTCCCATGGACAATAGAACAGTTGAAAATGCTTGGATGCGTTTTAAGGATCGTTTGGATCTATAATAATCTATTATTTGCCGAGAGTCATAAACAACAAACCCTCTATCCATTTAAAAGACCATAACGAACGAGGAAATTTTTTACACTACCTTTTTTGCCCTCATTTTAAATATCAATCGTTTCGTTATGAGAGAAGAGAATTTTTTTGACTAGTCGTTTAAATTACGTATTTCATCACGGCAAATGGCTTTACCTATGAAAAAAATTGCGCGCTATAACAAAAAACGAACGAAAGAAGAGAATGAAAAAACAAACATACAAAAAACATACGCATTTTCGCGCTTCGGATATTTTTTCCGCTTTGTATTTTACACTTTACCGACACATCGCGTAAGAGTTACGCAATTTTCGTTAATTAATACGTACGATCGTTTAATTAATCCGTACGTTACTCGATATATATATATATATATATATATATATATATATATATATAATTAATAGCCTCGCAATCATAAAAGGACGCGTGCGTCATAATAACCCCGCTCTCGCAGTCGCGTGAAAAGCTCTAAATTTAACGAAAGAAATGATCCTTCGCACCTAGGGCTGAAGCTATCGTGCGCAAGACTATTTTTATTTTTATTTCAAAGAAAACAGAAAGAAAAACAGAAGGCAAAAAAAAGGGATCGAGCAATCAATCAATTAGACTTTGCGTCATTTGAATTCAGTACAAGCGCGCGACACGGAGCAAAAACTTGGAATGGTAATCCGTCGCGTAAGGAGCGTAATCGTCCGAGGAAAAGGCAAACGCCGACAAAGGAAAGGTGACGACGGCGTCACTCGTAGCCGTCCGAATCGCCAGCGGCGCGAAATCATTAATCTCTCTCAAGACCGCCAATGCGGCACACTCGACGGACGAACTTGAACTAGGTGGATCATTAGTTCTGGGGCAGTGTGCGCCACGCCGACCGGAAGTGTCCTACAGTCGATCACATTCGCGCGCGACCTTCGCCGTGTTCTCTCGACCTCGTAACTCGTATTACGTGACAGGACATGTGCAGCCGCTCGCGCTTAATACGTACGCGGAAGGTTAAAAGCGAAAACGAGTTCCTCGCGGGCGTACCCTCGCCTCCTCGACGATAGCCCGACGAAAGCCGAGCGCCCGCAGCTTCTTCCCGTCTCGCCCTTGCGCTTTCACTCGACAGCGCGACTCTGGGACGGGGCGCGCGTGGGCAATCGCCTTCCTCTCCACACTCGTGGGTGCGAGAGGCCGAGTGACAAAGGAGGAAGAGGAAGAGCTCTGAGCCAGTGCATTTGAAATTGGATTTTGCAGGCAGTCGAATCGAAAGAGAATTAATTACTCGGAGCGAACGATTGAAGAAAATACATTTGTAAGAGTTTCGTAGAGAGCATGGCGAGGAAAAATGCATTTCCTTATTACTGCCACTGTCTCTACATAGCTACTTCTCTTTTTAACTCCATTTAATATCGATAGACAGATGCAATTAGTACATAATTAAAATCATTTATCTCATGGTGAGATTTTCAAGTAAGAATTCGAAATACGTTTTATCGAGACACTTATGCGGTTGTATGTGGCGGGTTTGGGATTTGGAGCTCCTTTTATTCTTTCTATATGCATTATCTACCTCACTTCCTCATTCGTGCAATATCGCGACTGTGAATATTACCCTACGAATAATAGTAAGAATTTCCAAGCAACCATACGCTCAAGAAGCAACTTAGCATTTAGAGTTAGTTGACAATTTCTGGTTCAATTACTAATGTTTATATATATATATATATATATGTGTGTGCGTGTGCGTACATATATATATATATATATATATATATATATATATATCAATTTGTTAGTAATGACTTCCTGACTATTACCACACTGTATATACATAGGTAAAAATACATATAATATACCGCAGGACGTTATATATAATTTTATGCCATTGCACATTTATAAATAGAAATAATGCCTTTCACAAATCTTTTCATAGAAGCTGTAGTTTGTCGTTAAAAATTAGGATGAATACTCCGGAACTTTGTACAATACAGACGACAGTCTTCAGAGTGCTCGAATTATTTGTAATTCTCCAAAATATATCATTCACATCGTATATGCGTATTCGTGTGCACGCGCGCGCGCGCGTGTGTGTGTGTGTGTGCGCGCGCGCGCGCGCTCGTTATATACACCTCGAGTTCCAAACATGCAAACAATCATAAAAACATCACCACAACCCTACAGACGTACATACGTAAAACTCGTTACAAAGCCGAACGCTAATAATTATAATTCCAAATTTCATCGGCAGACATTGCCAGAAGCATCGTCAGCTCCGAATTCTGTTCAATATCCAACGTTGTAATGCGTTGTTAGCGTTGTTTCTTTGTAACTGTTGATTCGACAGTACCTCGGACCGATGTCGTAAAGATGTCACTCCATAAAATGCACTTGGACATACGATCGTTTTTTGCCTCGAGTGCACGTCGAAACGTCCATTGCAGAAAAATTTAAAGTAAGCAATCTATGTGGCACAGGACTTATCACACTACGATCGATGCAGCTACACTGACATGAAATTACAAATACGCGCGAACAGAGTCTGAATTACTCCGATTTAAATATAACGAGGGTAGAAAATTATTAGCCTTACGACGTCTTACTTTCGAGTGTCAAGTTTATGCTAATTACGACTTAACCAACTCGAATCGTGGATCGAACTTTCGATGATAATTTCTATCTTCGGACATTAATTCCCACCATACGCGGACAATAATGACGAAGTGAAAATCAATCCCATTTAATTCGATTAACGTTCGATTAGCTAGAATCGTTAGTCCGAAAGTGTAGCGTGTGACAGAGGCGTTACGTCCGCTCGTACACGCGCTAAGTGCTTTTACTAATAAAGTTTCGGCATTCGTAAATGCCTGCCACGATCGATCGTTGCTGCCATAAATCTCATCATTTAACATACATTTACCTTTCATTCGGCATTCATAAATGCAATTCCCAACCAAACATTATAAAAAAAAAACAACAACAACAACAACAATAACAACAACAACAACAACAACAACAAACAAAACAAAAAAGAAACAAAATAAATAAAATAAATAACGAACCACATTAAAAATTTTTTATAGAGTGATCGATTTCATAGTGCATAGTGCACTCGTGTACCGGGAAACCAATAACAGTCACCAAGGAACGAAGGAGTTACTTTCATTGACGTGAGACATATACAGCTTTTATTTATTGCCAAAGTTAATATAATACAAGGAGTTGCATTGGTAGGATAGGCAAGGATCAGGCATCGGCATCAACAATCAGTTATATATACATGTAAGTGTATGTACAGATGCTGGTCCCGTGTGCGGCATACCCAACTCTACAGCATTCGTAGTTGAAGTACCGCAGCCGAAAGCTTTGCTACACAGGTTCTAAGGCTTATTTACACGAGGACGGTTGCGTTAATTTCCTATACTCCTCCATTTCACTATTCCGGCCAAGCCATCACCATTAGGCGTCTCCTTTCGCCTCCTCTTCCCAAGACTTATTATTTCCTCTCATAAATAAAGCGTTGTGACTCGCCGCGGTTATCTAAGCTACTAATAGCGATTCACTACGATCTCAGTTGGAGGCGCTCAGGGCGGTCCGAGCGTTTTACCTGCGTTGGGTGGAACGAATCCGTAGCCACTTGCCCCGACGACGACGCCGCTGGTGTCGGCGGGATTGCCAGGCGGGCCCGGGGGGAACAGCACCGGACCTGCAAAATAAACAAAACACAAAACAAGTCGTAATTATCAGTGGTCACTCGCTACACTCGACTGCGCCCGATCCTGCATTCGCTCTTTTTTCTCCACTACCATCGGAGCCGCGATTACTCTCGAAACTCAAGATCCTCCCTATTAAATTCGTCGGATGCGCAACGACAAACTTCCCATCTCTCCGCACTATGTCGGATGCATCGAATCCGCATTGCGAAGCATCGCCCGTTCGTTGCAATTTTTTTTTTTTGGCTTTTTTTTGGCTTTTTTTTTTGTTTGTTTTTACTTCGAAGGGACGAGCGGTCTGACAAGACTTTATCGCTATGTTATCGTTCGCTTTAACTAGGATTGATTTAACTAGGAGTGAGAAAGGAAGAAAGCACGAGCAAGTGAAGGGCGACCATGGACTATCATGCTATAACGGCGGTAACACCGACAATCGTCGCGAGACTCTGCTGAATGCAGCTGCAACGGTGATAATTGCAATCCGCATGACGAGATGGTGGGGCAAATATTTTAGCATTGGCGCAAGGTCGATCGTCGTTGCGCCTTCTCGATCTCTCCCGATGGTTTCGCGCTATTGCTTATGATTGAGCTTAACCGGCCATCCCCACTCGCGCCTCGATAATATCACTCTCGCCGAGGAGCCAATCGATCGAGTGCGCGCGCTCGCGACCTTCACGGTCGTTGCTCCTCGATGACCTACGGTCGCGTGTCCCAGGGTCGATATCGCCGTCGCGATTGTCCGCTACTTTGTAAATTACGAGAGGAATCCGATTGACAGTGGTACGTAAGTTCCGAGCGGGATAATGAAAAAGCCGCTGGTGAACAGGACGCCGAGCATCTGTGAATTCCACGTCTGTGTATCGCTTAATGGGTACACGAATTTATAGAAATTCTTTTGTAACGATTACTATCGATCCGGGGGGAAGAAAAACTTTTGTAAGCTTATGGTCGTGATTTATGTGGAGGCAATTACGGGCTTTGTAATTATTCAAATTGCTTAACCAATTCTATTCAAATAATTTATCCATAGCAGGTTTAGTCTTGTCGGTACCACCAACTATTGATAATTAACTACGTTGATATTTCTAATAATATATATATATACATATATATATATATATATATATATATATAACACTCACGGTCTGAATTGTTTTTGTTTTATTATTATTATTATTATTAATATTATTATTAATTAAATAAGTAAATTAAATGACAAAGATGATATATTTGTCGTTCATTATGAGTTTCATTTCACGACGAAATTCAGATTTTTAATGAAAAGCTGCTTTCAATTTTATAATAAATTGCTAAGTTATATGTTATACATCGAAATATTAGATCTAATATATTTCTGGCAATGTTATACATATGTATCGAAAAACCAATCAATCAAAACAAAAAAATACACACACACACACACACACACACACACACACACATATATATATATATATATATATATACGATTACTCGAAAGTCCGTTAGGTATATTTTCGTTGTTTGACAAGTATTGATTAATTGGCAAATAAGTTCCGACATTCACCGAATGCAATTTTATAATAATGAATATTCACACAATTTTCTAATTATACCAGTTAAATTTCTTCTTCTATTTTTTTTTTATTCAAATATTTTATTGAAATATCAATCGATTTATACAATTTAATATATGATAAATCACTCGTCTATTTATCTTGTGCATTCATTAAATTATTAAACTAATGCAATATATTAAAACTTTCCCTTGTTAAAATGGAAAGAGAGAGAGAGAGAGAGAGAGAGAGAGAGAGAAAATTACTCCAAATGTTTCTTATGAAACGTTATATTCGTATTTTCTATGCGTGAATAATGCAGGCTTTTATATAAAATGGAGAAATTGCCAACAACGTATGTGACACTTGTTATCCGTAACAGCAAAATGAATGGACAATAAAGTTCACAGTAACACGGTTACGTTATATGTTTCATAAGAACTCTACGTGAAATGAGAAAAATTAACGCCTCGGAAAGCATTAGTCGATACGCATTAGCGATGTTATGCATTTTGATTATGGCAAAAGACTTTGGTTTAGAATTTTTTAAAAATAATTTAATGGTTTATTTGATAAATATTATTAATGATGTTTCGAACGACTTTTTTTAATATAACGGCACAGATGTCTTTAGAAAATCAGGGGTTCAATATTTTTCTAGTTTGTTTGAAATTTAGAAAAAGAAATATCGACATTGCTTTGATACCGAAGAAATTGTCATACAAAATAATATGTTATGTTATGTTTATGTTGTAAATCGTGTAGGTTTTTTTCGTTTTGCAAATAAAACTTGTTTAATATAATTATCGGTACGGAAATGAAAGAATTTTTATTTTTGAATATTTATCGTACATTTAAATTTCTCAGTAGGATAATTAATCGTAACTAGTTTATATGCAATGAGTTATAGATCTTACTTATCTAAAAATCAGGTGCATAAATAAATCAGGAATTTAGATATACAAATAAGATACGGAAATTTCGAAAAATGCAAATATTTCCTGATTTTCTGATAATTATTATCATTGTACGTTTCCCACCACTCGGTAAAATTAATATTTTTCAAACACATTAGAAAACCATTTAATAATATGTAATACTTAGATAATCATAGCGCCGACTCACGAGTATTTTTTATTAGAAAACACACTACTCATAAATTTGTACAATACGTCGACGTATTAAGCTATTCAATATTACAAATATTATAATTAAAAACTAGCACAAAATATTTGTAAATATATAGTTAAAAATTTAAAAGGATCATTAACGATTCGTATATAAATTACAAGCATAATTGCCCTCCGTTAAATTACAATTTATAGTAACGTTAAAGTCCGCCACCTCATTTTTAATGCAAACAAAAAACCTGCTAATGTCAAAATCAATGAAACATAGAAATCACAGTTACCGCGCAACATAGTTTAATTTGAAAGTAAGTCTCGTTAATTTTCACTCCATCCCATTACAAGCGACGGAGATTGTTCTCGATTTAGTTGACGTGGGCGTACTTACCAGTATTAGATCGCGGGTCCCTCATTCCAGATGATTGCCTGAGATATGGACCAAAGCCAGAATATAGTTGGTTGTAGTTTTGCGCGTGAGCGAGGCTGGCGACGACGGCCAAGATTGTGGCTAATACGGCGATCTGTAACAATGCCAATTCGTTTGTAAGTTTTCATTATGATAGGTTCGTTAGCGACTACTTAGTCGACGTAAAGTCAGGTTTATTTGTTTAATGAGCTTAAGAATTTTATTTGCGGTACGACGGATTTGCTCGACGCTTTGCTCATCAATTCGCAAATACATTGGCCAGGACTTTTTCCCATCAGTTTGGCTTTTACCTTCCAACGCCATCAATGACTGACAATCACTTATTTCACATATTAGACCTAGTTTTCGAGAAATCTATTTTTCATAACATAGATTCGCGATCTCGCAATCTTTGTAATCGTCCTCCATTAACTATGTGTTTGTGTTTTTAAAGAAATTGAAGAAACAAGGTGCTATGCAGGTTTTAAAATATTACCGTACTTGCTGAATGGAAACTTTAAATGATAGTTTTACGAAGCTAAGTAATACAGGATAATTTTGCTGCGGGTATGCTTTAAAAAGAAAAAAAAAACGAAAGTAAAAAGATTTACTTTGCCTAAAGGTAACCCAACTTCCGCGAAAGTTGGAGAGAATAGTGTAATTTTTTACTGCCAATATTGAATTGTTTTACTCCATTTAAATTATTTGAAATTATTCTTTGACTTCGATGAAACTCTATTTTATATCTTGTTTGGGAGGCTAAAAAAAAAGATGGAAAAGAATGTGAAAATTGTAGATTATTCTCGATAAGCGCGCGAATAAATTGCAATATTTTAAATTATCCACGAACGTCTACCACGTGTCTTTAAGTTCACAAAAATTCGATATAAATTGATAAATAGTGCGTGATAGCATTAAAACAAGAAGATATGAAAGATATAATATAATTATGTAACGTTTAATTATTACTGAATTGCTTAATGTACATGAATAATATATATATATATATATATATATATATATATATATATATATATATGTATATTAACCAGTTATAATAACTCCATAATAAATTATTATTATTCACGCATATTAATGCACGCGTATGTATGTGCATATATCGTGAACGTAATGTAGAAAAAAGTTACAAAATGCAGAGAATTAATGCAAAGAAAAGTTTCTATACATACATATTATATATATGCACACACTTATAAATGAAATTCTTAAATAAAAACACTGAATTTTTTTTAATAATTCTTATCATAAAAAGATGTCTTTATTTAATATGTAAATATTATTGATAGATATTTAGTTTTTTAATAGATTTAATTGTAAAGAAAGCCTGACTTATGATAATGTATTATAATGTATCCGTAATGAATGCAATATTATCTGTTTAATATAATCTATAAATAATTATAATTATGTATAATATTTTACCTATATGAATGCATATAGAGATTAAGTAAGAAAAATATTTATGTACAGAGAGTGTTATGAATTAATAGGAGAACATTATTAATTATAAGTTATAAGAGTGATTGTTGTATTTGTAATTGTACGATATGAAATGTGATTAGTTTGACTTATACTCAGCAATAGATAGCCAACAATTAAAATAATAAAACTTTTCGCCTTATAGCATAATAAACAATAATTAATTTTTAATGAACTTTCATTTTCAAATACTGTAATTACGTAGTGTGTATGAAAATTCATCTAAAAAAGAATGAAATAATGAAATTGAAGGGAAAAAGAATTAATTTTCCTCAACGTCGATCTTAATAGATTTTATCACAATTATACAATTTAATTATCAACTAATAAGTTTTAGTTATTGAGACATTATACGTGCAATTATAAGTATTTCTTAGTAAATCGTTGTCTTGTTCTGCTCAATAATATTCTCGCCTCATATGGAGATTCTTTTCAAATAATAATTCTTCTTCTTATATTGTACTCTTTAATTTAAGTCTCCAGCAGAATTTTAAAGTTGCTAAAGTTTACAAAAATTCTACACACGCTTGATTACAGGCCCACTACAATTTTAATTAAAGTCAATGCTGAGTTTAGTTTTCATAAAACTGTCAAGATTGATCTATGCTTATCCACGTGTATGTAGCAAAATGTTGAGCAAGGTCATAATGTTATATGAAAATCATACTGTTTACAAGTATTAAGTCAATTAGTTCAAGCGACTGAGGCAGAAAAATTTCGCAAGTGTACGTAGTAGTGTAGTATTTACGTAAAGGAATTGCTGGTTGAATGCTCCTCTTAGTACTTGGAACTTGGAGGATCACGAAGGAAAACGGGAGCGATCGTAAATTGGTAATACAACGCCCCCCCCCTACACTCTCACTAGCTCACTCTCACTCACTCACTCTCACTCTCACTCTCCCACTCTTTGACAAGTACAACATTGTGGAGTCTTGTAGCTAATGGACCGAACAAAATACCACAACTTCTCCTCAATGAAACTGTCTACCTCTGATTGATAGGTTTGTAAGAGACTTTTTAAGGATTCAAAGAGAAAATGGAGAATAGTCAGGCACATCTTATTTAAGCGTGATTTTATAAGTTTGTAACCTTGCAGTCGCCCGTTTAATTTATTACATATATGCCATTTGACCAATATTTCTTTCGAGATTATAAGATTCATGTCGCAGGCAATTATTAACTTTGAATTTTAATTACTTTATTCTCTCCTCTATTTCTATATGATTAATTATTAATTTTTCTAAGCGAAGATATGTCGAATGTGTTAGTCATTTTTACAAGTAAAAAATCAACAAATTCATTTCATTTTCTTAAAAATTAAAGGCAAAATTTAACGAATCGGCATGAACAAAGTATTATTACATATTCAGTATGACATTATCAAGAAATCTTTCTCATATTGTAAAACTGACATTGTATTAAGTGCATATTTTTACGTAATAATTAATAAAATAATTCATTCCGATTCATTAACTGTACGAATAAATTCATTATAAATATTAAAGTTAATTATAAATATGAAGCTCTATAACTTGTCGATTATCTTGATAAATTTCTTTACAATTCTAAAGTCTTTCATTAAATCATCTCCAATGATTATCATAAACTTTGAAAATATAAAAAACATAAAATAGTTTCATAGTTATATGCTAATTGAAACGTCCGACACACATTCATTCATTATACAAAATGTGATATTAATACAAAAAAAAAACCAAAAAAAAAAAACAAAAAAAAAACAAAAAAAAGACAAAAACAAAAATGAAAGAAAAAATTGTAAATTCTTCATGAAAAATTGGCTTTAGAGCAGACCGTTTGCTTATTAATTATCTTTAATAATTTATACCTTTATAAGTGATTAAATAAATTCTCTCCATTTAATATTAATATATTATACACGTTGATGCGTTTATTATATAAAAGAATTTTGTATTAAATATTACAATTTTAATGAATGGAAGCTAGTATGGTATGAAAAATTATAGCAATTCCGCTTAGAAAAGAGTCAGAAATGCAATTTTCACAAAGCTCCCGCATCACTAAAATTTCAAAAATTTATCTATTTTTTTACTAATGTGAAAATAAAAGTTATACGTTTCGTATATCTAATAAAGAAAAAAAAAGAAAGGAAAAAAAAATGATAAAAATTGATTACGAGAAAATTGTAAAAGTTACTACTCGACTTATAAAATTAATTATCCTTACGTATGGCTGATAATGAAATACTTGATTTATCGAATATTCATAGCTTTTTCCTTTTTCCATTGCGTGACCAACGGTAATAAATGTACCATAATTCTCCTCGACGATTGTACTAATTTTATAAATGTGAATCTCAGCGGAAGAATGGGTAGGACTGGAACCGCAAAATATTTAGTGGTTTCGGGGCATTACTCAACGTATTTCACACCACCGTCTGCTCCATACATATAAGCCACGGAGTGAACTTTGAAAGTCCAACTTGAATTATCCAGTTGTTATATGTTTGTATGTATTGTATATAACAATATATTCGTCTTCTTGTGTAAGAATTATTAAGTTTTATTGTTGCAGGCATATTTTTCATTTGGGAATTCGTACGCATTAATCTGGCGGAATGAGGGAATCCGCATACGAAAGTTTAAGAGATGACAATCATGAAGTAGGCAAAGGTACGAATAATGTTAATGATGATTATGCAATGATCCCCAGTCAATTCAAAAATTCGCCACGTACATACAACATTCGGCATAACATTCTCCGACTCTTAGGCAAATATTTAATGTTATCATGGCAAGATTAACGCAGATCCCACGCTAAATATAGCTTAATGTTGTTAATAAATTTTTATTCTACCAAGGCCAATGTTATGCATAACTAATTTACACAGAGTTTCTTTTAATTTTTGGGCTGATAACTTTAGCACTGACAATATCATAATAATGTACTAGTGTTTGAAAAAAATCAAAATTACTATTCACTGTCCTGTGCTGTACTGTGCTTTTCAATATCTTTTTCAGGATTACTTTGCTTTTGTAATAAGAACGTTAATGGAACATGAAAAATACTTTCTAATTTGTATAAATCTTTATTAAATTATTCGCAAGTGACCTCGTAGGCAAACGGTTGTACTTGATTTATAATTTTTCGGTTATAATTTGCAATATATTCAATCTCGTAAGTAAGTGACATATCTGATAGTAATTTAAGGTCTATTGTAAATTAAAAAATTTTTATTTTATTTTAAATTTAAGATTTTTTTTTTTTTTTTTTTTTCATTCCTTTCAAACCCAATGTTGCGTTTATCAATTTTAACGATCGTTTTCTATTATTAATTCCTTAGCTACCCACTAATATTTGATTTATTATGATTTTCTAAAGTAATTTATTATTGTTTATAATGATAAAGATTGGGCTGGCCATCGCCTATCGATATATGAAGAAGAAAAATAGCTGTCACAACGTGTTTGTTACGTTATGTATATCAATTTAATGTGTTAAATGTAAATTAAAATTAGAAAAATTTTAACCTTCGATATTGACAATTCTTTATTCTAGTCAATATTTAATTAATATAAAGTAAATTTACTAAATTTTAATTTCTATTTGTTAGCTTGTGCTAGAGAATTATTTAGC